CAGTTAAGAAATCCTAGTCATTGAGCAGCATCATTGTACCTAATATTAATCTCTGTGTGTTATTTTGGGCAACCATGTGGCGGCAGGGCCCAGGCGGCTTGGCGGAAAGATTTATCGTTACAGAGTGAACCACCACTGCCCGGCTCCATTACCTTATCTTGTACCTTAAGACCTTTTCCTTCTACCTCATAGTCCCCTTTCTTTTATAACCCTAGAATATATTACATATATATGTTCAAATCTATATTGTCTTCTTAGTCTGTCAAACTTTTTCTTTCCCTTCTTGACAGAGACTCTCTGTACCCTGGGATGGCCTAGAAGTATGCAGGCTAGCCTCTAACTTGTGACCCAGGCTAGGCACGGTAGTTCACTCCTTTAACCCTAGCTTTTGGGAGTACAAGGCAGGTGGATCTTGCTTTGTGGGGTCAGTTGTCTCCCTCTATCTCTGTGTAGTTCTGTGGATAGAACTCATGTCACTGGGATTGTACACCAAGCTCTTTACCTGCTGAGCCATCTCGCTGGTCTTATTTCCTTAAGAGTCTTACTGTGTATGCCAGGCTCTCTTGATACTCATAGCAATCCTCTTGCTCAGTTTCCAAAGTACTAACATAACCAGGCTAAACCATTCTCCCAGTTCAGAAAAATGCTTTTTTTTTTTTTTTTTTTGAGACAGTTTCTCTGTGTGGCCCTAGCTGTCCTCGAACTCACTTTGAAGACCAGGCTGGCCCCCAAATCAGAGATCCATCTGCCTCTGCCTCTGCCTCTGTTTCTGCCTCCCAAGGGGCTGAGTTCAGAGGTGTGTACCACCACCACTGGTTCAGAAAATAACTTTTAATATTAGTTTTAATACAAGATATTCTTTATATCAAGTCCTGTTGTCTTTGCCCTTTTGATTTTTTGAGACAGGGTTTCTCCATGGCTTTGGGGGCTGTCCTATAACTAGCCCTTGCAGACCAGGCTGGTCTCAAACTCACAGAGATCCACCTGCCTCTGCCTCTGCCTCCCAAGGGCTGGGATTAAAGGCGTGCGCCACCACTGTCTGGCGCCTTTTAATTTCATTTGTTGGATAGAACTGTGTCCTGAGTGACAAGGGTAAAACACTTTCAGGTTTCCAAATCTTCTGGGTCTAGATGGACAGATTTCAGGTCTTACTTAATCCCATGAGGTCTAAGGTCTACAACTTCAGAATTTTCTGTTGTTCTTTGTAGGCATCCAGGGTATTGTAGATGCCTACCGCCAAGCATTGCCCCAAGTTCGTCTCTATGGCCCTACCAACTTTGCACCCATCATCAACCATGTGGCTAGATTTGCAGCCCAGGCGGCACAGCAGAGGACTGCCTCGGTAAGAGCTACGGATAGCTGTGGTGCTGAGGTGGCGAGGACTGTATCATGGGGGCCATCTCATTAGTGGGAATGTGTGCCTGGTTTGTTGGGAGGGGTTGGGAAAGAGAATTTTCCTCAGTATATGAACTTTTCTCTAGCAATACTTCGTACTGTTGATTTTGACTGACGGCGCTGTGACAGACGTGGAGGCCACATGTGAGGCTGTGGTGCAAGCCTCAAAGCTGCCCATGTCAGTGATCATTGTGGGCGTGGGTGGTGCTGACTTTGAGGTCATGGAGCAGCTGGATGCTGATGGTGGCCCTCTTCGTACTCGCTATGGAGAAGCAGCTTCCCGTGACATAGTACAGTTTGTGCCCTATCGACGATTTCAGAATGTGAGTATGGGAAGAGTTTGCAGGGTGATGAGAATGGAGTTGAGGTCCAGCAGATAAAGCCTTTTCATCAGTCTGGCAAGGTTGAATTTGGGGTAAGATGTAGACCCTGGGAGACCTACAGGCCCTCATTGAACTTGCCTTTCTTCTTCTGACAGGCTCCACGGGAGACACTGGCACAGACTGTACTTGCAGAAGTGCCTACTCAGCTGGTTTCCTACTTCAAAGCCCAAGGTTGGGCCCCATTGAAGGCACCTCCAGCTCCAGCCAAGGTCCCTGCACAGCCCCCCCAGGCATAGGTTTCCTGGGAGAGTAGGCTGTGACCCATCTATTTCAGCTGGTACCATCCTCCAGGCATGGACCAAACCTGCACATTCTTCTCACTTTATAGTTGATACTTTGATACTTACTTCTGCTTTTGCTGCTCTTGACTACCTACCTGTGCCTGACACCATTCAGGAAAGACCTCTTTCTCGAGGTTACAGGCCGGTGTAAGTAAGATAGCCTTACTTTGACCTAAGTCTTTGTTGACCTTGGGCTTGTTGAGTGAAAGGTTACCCCTGGTCTGGTAATCCTATCCAAGCAAATTGGGTCAACTCACTTTGCAAACACGAAGTTTGAATATAAAGTAAGCGTGTGGTTGTCCATCCTCCGAGTGGAGCTGAGCTGGGAACATGGATAAGATGGAAGGTGCTATGCCTCATAAGAGGTGGAAAAGTTGAGAGAATGACACATTTCACTGTAGAGTGACGACTATTAGACCTCTAGGACTAGCTGTGTTCCACTGTTTTTTGGGAACACTTGTGTAGTCTAAGCTGGCCTGCAATTTACCATCCTGCCTCAACCTCATGGATGCTGGAATTAGAGACTTGTGCTACTGTGCCTGGTTTTCATCAGGCTGTCCCTGAGCTACATGTGTAACCAAGGATGACTTTAATTCCTAGTCCTCCTACCCTCACCTCCCAAGTGCTAAAATCATAAGCATGACCAGTATGTCCAGCTTAATGGTTTTTTTTTTTTTTAATATTAGAGATTAAACATGTATATTGTAGGAAAATTTTGTAGGAGGGACCCATCTTCACCACATTATGCAGGCTGGCTTCAGACTCTGAACTCAAGAGCTTCTCCTTCCTCAGCTTATGGAGTAGATGGATCTATGGTGCACTTAATGCCTGGTTTAGAAAAACAGATTTTCTCTTGCAGGGAGGAGGGAACTTTTAAATGCAGAAGTAAAATTTCACTCAATCTGCCAGTAAGTCATGGTTGTGCACAACTTGAATCCCAGTACTCAGGAGGCAGAGATATTTTAAAGTTTTTTGTGGGGGGCGTTTCTCTGTATTGTTTTGGAGCCTGTACTGGCACTCACTCTGTAGATCAGGCTGGCTCGAATTCATAGAGATCTAAAATTATTCAGTTTTGTTTTATATGCATTAGTGTTCTGCCTGCATATATGTCTGTGTGAGGGTGTCAGATCCTGTAGTTACAATTTTGTGAGCTGTGATGTAGGTGCTGGGAATTGAACTCAGGACCTCTGGAAGAGCAGTGGGTGCCTTTAACCTCTGAGCCATCTCTCCAACCCCTAAAACATTATTTCAAAACTGAGTGTGATGGCACACATCTTTAATCCTAGCACTCAGGAGGCAGAGGCAGGAGGATTTCCGAGTTTGAGACCAGTTCCAGGACAGCTAGGGCTACACAGAGAAACCCTGTCTCAAAACAAGCAAACAAACAAAACAAAAACAAAGGAAAAATTGTTTCAAATATCAATATCATATAAATATAGATAATGGGCTGGGCAGGTGGTGCACACGTTTAGTCACAGCACTTGGGAGGCAGAGGCCAACCTAGTCTTCTAATCGAGTTCCAGGACAGCCAGGACTGTTACACAGAGAAAACCCTGCAAGGGGGTTTGGGGGGGGTAGGGGGTGGGGGTGGGGGGATAGATAATCGAAATAAAGATTGGTAGCTCATGGCTATAATCCCAACACATGGAAGTCTGGGTCAAGAAGATTGCTGTGATTGTGATGTGGACTTAAATTCTTCTCTGAGTTTCAGATCAGACAGAACATCTTCTAAGGGATCACATGAGCTATTTGTATCTGGTTTGCATTTATTTTGGATGCCTTATCCAAACTGCCTTGTCTCCTGTTACTCTCTTATACCAGAATTTAGTAATTCCCCTAGGTTTGTTTTGTTCTGCTTACTCATTTTTGAGGAATTGGCTTCTAGATATGGAAATGATAGCTCACAGAGGGTATTTAAAATTTTAGCAGATATTACAGGTTACCTTCTGTAAAGTCATAGTCCCACTCATTCCATTTGTTAACCCTTGGTCACCTTCCTCACCCAGATCTCATTTTCAGTTTGAATTTATTTCCATAGGTAAGGCTAGGAATCATTTCATACACTGACTTCATTCTCAGTAGCCTGTTCATGGCTATATGTGTCAAGAGTCTTCATTCTGCTGTTCTTTTCAACATGTTCAAATTATTTTTCCCTTAGCTGTTACTGTTTCATATGTTTTTATATGCAATATGAAAATTTTATTTTTTATAAATGCTAATCTGCTTTTAAAAATGTATCCATATATCAATGATAATAAATACTCCCTCAGTGGCTGCATTTGTTTTGTTTTGTTTGGTACTGGGAATTGTGCCTAGGGCCTAAGCCATGTTTGAATCAGGCTCTACCACTTATCTTATCTTTGAGTGTACGTAGGGGGCTGTAGAGTTCAAGGACATGTTCCAATACAGTTAGAGTACAAAAAACTTACAGGGTCTTGTGTGATTGCTAGCTGGATTAAGTGCTTGCTGTACAAGTTTAACAACCTGAATTTTACTTATAGGATCCACGTAAAGGCGGAAGGAGAAAATTAACTCTACAAAGCTGTCCTCTGAACTCCGCCCGCACTAACAATGGTGTGCACACTTAGACATCTATAAAAAGTATGAACAGAAACTGACTGAGGTGGTTCATGTCTGCAGTCCTAGCACTGGAGTGCCTGAGGCAGGAGTAATGCCTTGAACCTTATGCTAATCTGGGCTACATAGTGAGTTCTAGGCCAGCCTTAGATGGTGAAAATGTATGAAAAGTCTTAAGGATTTTGATTCCTCTGGCTTCTGTTTATGTGCACTGAGAACTGAAACCAGGGCCATGGGGTCTTGCAGACTAGGCAAACTGATACTCTATCCACTCCATCAATCCACCTGCCCTGGTCTCTGCCTCCCAAGTGCTGGGAGTAAAGGTGTGCACCACTATGTCCGATCTTTAGTTCTATTTCTTTTCTTTTTTTTTTTTTTTTTTTTTTTTTTTTTTTTTTTTTGAGACAGGGTCTATGTAGCACTCAAACTCATAGAAATCCCCTTACTTTTGCCTCCTGAGTGCTGGAATTAAAAGCATCTGGGCGCTGCCATATCCAGCCCTTAGTTCTATTTTTAACCTTAGTTTTAATTTGTTCCTATTACATTTATTTTGTATGTGCACATGGAGTTGAAAAGACAACCTGTGAGACTTGGCTATCTATTGTATGGGTCCCAGAGACTGAATTCAGGTCATAGACTTGGTGGTGGTAAGCCCACTTTAGCCCACTTGAGTCATCTTAATGATCCTTAAGTATTTTTAGTATATTTTTTTGTGTGTTAAGTGCCACAGCATGTGGGGGGCAGAGGACAGACATCCCTGGAGTTGTTTCTCTTCTTCTACCATATGGGACCCAGGGATTAAATTCCAATTGTTAGGCTTGGTGGTCTTTCCCTGTTGAGACATCCCACCTGTCCTAACCTTACCTTTTGTTGAATTTTCATGTGTTTGGGTGTTCTGCCTGCTTGAATATACCACATGTGTGCCTAGTGCCTGAGAAGGCTGGAAGAGGGCATTAGATTCCCTAGAACTGGAGTTATAGGTGGTTGCTGGGAATCAAACTCGGGTCCTCTGGAAGGGCAGCCAGTATTAACAATGAGCCATCTCTCCAGCCCCGAAATCTTAGGTTTTGAAAATACTTGGTGTAAGTGCTTTTTTCAAATGACAAAATACTATCACCCTAATTTAAATAGGTGAATAATAAGTGATCTGCTTCACATATCAGTAGGAAGGATCCCAACATCCAAGATAAATAGTGCTTGTCTTTGCTCATGTGAGGCCCTTTCCCACCCTAGGAACTCGACTTACTTGACTGCCTGTTTGTACTTTCCACCCCTAGTTCTTTTCACCATTCCAGCGAAGACTTAGATCAGATGGACGTCAGATGACCACCTAAGGTCCTAGGAATGACCAACTGCATGAGGGCTACCAAGCCTAGGTCAGCTTTGACTCAAAGATTTCCTAGAAGTTTTCAGAACTTAGCTTTTCACTGTTTGCCAGAGGAGAGTTTCCCCGTTATTGGGGTAGAGATTTGAGTTGACGTGTGGCTTTAGCGACATGATAGTTCTCCAGCTGAAGAGGGAAGGATGCCTCTTGAGGAAGGCCCCATTCTTGTGTAACTCTTCACTAGCGTGAGTGGAGCAAGTTGCACTAGCAGTTTCCTTCTTTGTATTGAGGATCAAGCTGCATCTTGTACGGTGTAGAATGTCCACAACACTGTCTCTTGCATATGGTAGACACTGGAAACATCAACTTTTGCTACTATATGACTCTGGACTTTTCCAGGAAAAGAGGATGTGTTGAGGGGCATATTCTGCCATACTGACCTGCCATAGGCAGAGCTTTCCCCAAAAGGTGACCTCCCAACTCTGAAGCAGTTTTCTTTAGCACAAATCTCAATTCTGCTTCAACCATCAGCATTTTTAATGGGGTCCCCCAGCGACCCCTGTGGCATTGTCCTCTGCCCACTCTGAGATCCTCACACCATGGGCACGGACTCGATATAAGCATGTGAAACGTGGATGGCCCCAGTTGCTTAGAATCTGAATTTTCACCTTAGGGAAGGCTGATGGAGGGTCATTCTGGGGAAACAAATGGATCATGCCAACAACTGCTCTCAAGACTGTCCTCCCCATCAGTGTTCACTGCCCCCATGTTAGCACCCCCAGAGATAAACACACCTGTAGATGGAAAGTCTGAATTTCAGATTTCTGCACATCAAAGATGAATTTTCCCAAGAACACTTCAGTCTCATCATCAGCCTGGAGCCCCTGGTGGGTGAAGAGTATATGGAGGAGCCCCGTGAGACACAGGAAGGGAGGGGAAACTGCTTTGCTCAGGCCTTCTACATACATGTTCAACAGCTACATGGGTCCTGTTCACATTCTAATGTAGGTGGTGCATTGTGGAATGTAGGCTTGAAGAAACCAGTAACAGCCAGGACATCCTAGTACCAGGGATGCTAAACTTACAACCTGCAGCAGCCTGTGAGTATGTCCAGCTTATAGATGAACAAACAATGACAAATGCCGGCAATGCTTCTCACCACTACCTAGGGGTTTCTAAAACTTCCCCACCTCCTGGCCTCGGCCCCACTTACAAAGACTGCAAAGTCCCGGGGTGCACTGCTGGCTCCTCCAGTGTGTGCCACAGTGGGTGGAGGATGCTGCAGGGTGACGTCGCTTAACTGCACATGACCTGGCAGTCGGATCACCACCTGGCCTTGATCACCTTCAAAAGCCCAGCAGTTTCCAGGGAACACATCTGGCTGCAGGGGTTTGGGCAGACCATCAGAACATATAACGAACTGGAGACCAGACAGTACTGAGAATTGGAGAGCAGCCTGAGCTGGATAGCAAGACCTTGCCCTAGAGCTTCTCAGCCCAGAGCTTTGCCTGTTCCCTTGGTTCTTGCCTAGTCGTGTGAGGCAATGCTAAGTCCCCAGAGTTTACAATTCTCTTCAGTTTAACTTCATCCTTGGCTTGGCAGGAGCCTTCCCACACCATGCCAGACCCTGCCTCCAGTGGGGCACCTCCTGATGCCAAACTGACCTCAACTCCAGTCCTGCCTCTACCAAGTTGATTCTTGCTCTTACCCTGGCTCTTGCCCTTTGGTCCCATCCCCAGCACCCTGGTTCCAGGCCCACCTCCAGGATGACTGAGGGTGGGCGTGCATAGTTCCAGAAGCTCAGGCGGTTCCAGAAATAGACAGTGTTGGTATCCTCATAGTCACTGGATGTCTTCTCCAGGTCGATGGAGGCTCCTAGAACAGGCAGAAGTCACTTTCGCATTAACACAGTTGTCTATGACCTGGAGTCCAAGTTCCTTCCACATATTTGTGTCTTACCCACAGAGCTCAGTGCATAGTCGGGTTTCCGCACAAAGTCCTCATTCAGCCTCTGGAACACGAGCTTGGCCACTCTCTAAAGACTCAGAGGGTGGGACAGGAGGGTTGCAGGCTAGTTTACAGTGGGCCTGCCTCTCAGTAACTCAATACTCAGAGATAGGACCTTAAGGGCCTAGAAAAAGAGTCCCCACTGTGGGTATCTGGAGCGAAGATTCGTCTCAGAACCCAGGCTGTGGTAGTTCCAAAGTGCAGCCTTGAGTGAACGCAGAGCGAATACCTACACCCACCCCCCAAACCAACGCAGGGACACACCTCACTGTGAGCTGCACGAACGCTGGACACCTCCTTGTGGAGTTTATTCAGTTCTGTCTGGAGCTGCTGCAGCTGCTGGCCCTGGGAGTACACACGCTGGTGGTATTGGCTACAAGGCGTGGGGGGGGAGGCGGTAGGCACCATGTGGTTAGCTACCTGTCCCTGGCCCCCATAGATAGATTTCAGAGCTGCCCACATCCCACCCCAGCTGCCCTTTCACCTTAGAGTCAGCATCTCCTTAGGTTCCTGTTGAAGGGACAAATAAGGAGGGACAAATAAGCAAGCTTCTCCCAAGTCTGCAAGGCGTGGCTAGACTCACGCGGCCTCCCTCTTGAGAACTACTCCCATTTCCCTCCCATTCTCCGTTGGCCTCTGGATATTATACCCAAAGCTTCCTATACTGCCCACTCCCAGCAGCCCAGTGATGCCCCACCCACCCACACAACCTCCACCCCACCTGGGGACATAGTCTCCCCAACTCACATTCTCTAAAGCGGGGACCAGATACAGGAGACCCCACCAGAGTGCTGGAGAAAGAGAAGGGGCATTCTCTGGTATAAAGGGACACGGAGGAAAGCAAAGGGGTTGGGATGGTGGCTGGGGCTGCACAAGGACTGTGAGAGACCAAGCAGGGGTCACTAGAGTGAGCTGAGGGGCACAGGGACATGCGAGCTGGATTTGGCTGCAAACCTGCAGAGCTGGGACCCCAGGGAATCGAAGCTCCTCACCTGCCAGAAAGACGCTCAGGAGCGTCACAGCAGTTAACAGGAAGCGGATGGAGCAGACCTCCCTGAGAAACCGTGACAGAAGCTGATGCTCTGAGGCCCTAACCCACCCTCGCCTCGACCCCAGGATCCTAGACCCAGTTCCCGGGAACTCGACTCAACCAGACACGAATAAGCTCAAGCCTTGGTGGGGCCCAGCCCTGCTGCCCTTCCCTGAGCCATCCCTGCTCCTCCTTGCTCTGACCTGTACACACTGACCAGCGCGTCTCCTGCCACCGATAACAATACGCTCAGCACCTGAAAGAGGAGGTCTGGGACGGGGACAGGAGAAGCCGTTCAGAGAGGACGCGCTATGAGGGAGGGGTGGTGCAGGTTCAGGGAGGCTCGGGAGGGCCGCGGGGTGAGGTCCGGGGGCTCAGGAGGCGAGGGTGGGCTGGGAAAACGAGCTGAGGCCGGACACTCGGACCCGGGCCGGGGAAGGAGAACTGGGCTTCCGAGTGCCAAGGTCAGAGGGGATCGGGCTGGACTCTGGGACCCAGTCTCGGGCAGGAGAACTGACTGGGGTTCCGAGTGCCAGTCAGAGGGGAGGGGGCTGGTCTGGCTCGTACTCAGGAAGCTCTTGGACACCCGCACCGGAGGCATCTCCTGCCTCAGATCCAGGCTCGGGATAAGGTTGAGCTGCTCCTCCAAGACTGCGGAAGATCCACACGGTTCTGTGGGAGCCCAGGGCTCCATTGAGGTGCTGTGCACCACGGACCCGCATTTCCCCCGGGGCCCGGGCGCAGGCTCCTGAGCCTAGTGCTAAACCGCTGGGCAGGCCGTGGTCCCGCCGCGCGCCTATGCCGCGCTCCCTGCGCACCCCCAGATGCGGGGCGGGAGAGCCTCGGTCCGCGGAAGAACAAGCCCCGGCC